GATCTGTGGAGTGATTCTCTGGACCTTTTGAAAATGTAGCAAATGCTCCATCATTTCTCCAGCCTGATCGTCTTTCTTGTCGTAATTCAAAGAGGCGGTTGTCACAAATAATTGCCTGAGATATAAGTTCTTCTAAAGTATCCGCCTTAGGCATGGTGATCAATAAGTTCTTGACATCATCTCTCAGTCCATATCGAAATCGTGACATGAACGCCTTATCATTCCAATCAAGATCACATGTAAGCTGTTGAAATTCTGCAGCATAGATTGCAGCAGAACGTGATCCTTGTCGCAGATTTTGTATCTTTCTTTCAGCCACTCTTTCTCGATCGCTATCTCCAAACGCAGCAGTAAGTCTCTCTATGAAAGCCTCTAGGTCGTACAATATTGGAGAATCCTTCTCCAATAGTGGAGCAAACCAAGAGCGAGCATTTCCTGATAGAAGAGTACTTATGAAAGCAACCTGGGTAAATCCATTCGGATAACGAGAAGGGTATAGGCGTAGGTAAAGTCGTACTTGTTGCACAAAACCTCGGAAGTTGGCTCTTGTTCCGTCAAACTTGTCTGGCATACTCGCTTTTGGTTCTTTCGTACTAATCCTTGAAGTATCTATAGGGGTCGTATGTGACACATGTCTTGCTTCTCTCAGTCGAATAATCTCTTGTTATAGGCTATGAATTTCACGTCTAGCTTCTTCGGTCATTAGATCAATTTGAGGTTCTTTACTTGGATTGCGAAGAAATGCAATCTCCTTTCATACACTATTCATAAGAGCTTGAAGATCTGCAAGAGTTGCCACTCTATTGTCTACTTGTGGAGATGCATTGTCTATGACCTGGTCTACTTCCATATTTAGAGAATAGATGGATTAAAATTTTGAGAGAAGAAGAAATTGCTAAGTCTCTTGGAGAAAATTGTAGCACTACCTGTCACTAAAACCTACTCGGAGAAAAGGAAAAAAAAAAAAAAAAAAAAAAAAAAAAAAAAAAAAAAAAAAAAACACTAAACGATTTCAGTTTTAGAGGAGGGTAATCCGCAACCTCTAAAAATGCCTCAATGCTTTCGAGAAGAGGGGTAATCCGCACTCTATCAAGAAGGCAAAGCTCTGAAATCGATGTTAACAATCTTTTCTACTAGCTATACTAAACAAAAAGAAGGAATTAATATCAGTCCAAGAGAGGGTAATCCGCAACCCTTAGAACGCTTAAGTATCTCCAAGGAAAGGGGTAGTCCACTCTCTGCCTCAAAGAACTAAGCTCTGATATTGTGATTGAGAAAATATCAGTTTAGAGGAAGGTAATCCGCAACCCCTAAAGCGCTAGAATACCTTCAAGAAGAGGGGTAATCCGCTCTCAAACAAGAAGGATTCAGCTCTGATATTAAGATAAAGGTAGTCTCGACAAACTGTCACGGACACAAAATACAGACTTGAAATCTAACAAGAAGTTCAAGAAGAAGTGGCAGAACTAGATTAAACAGATGAGTACAAGAACAACACCAGAAAGGTGAGCTAGAACTCCAAGAGATGTGTTGTCGAGACTGAAGAATTCTTCAGCCTCGACTCCTATATATACTACTGGCCTATGGTTCTAAAGAAGCGCATCAAGAAGCTTCCCAAGAACTATGAAGCTTCTCGAGCAACTACCCAAGAGCTAGGAAGCTTCTCAAATAACTTCCTAGAATCTACTAGAATATTCTAAGAATCTTCTAGAGCCTTCTAAGGGAATCTTTAGGAAATCTTCAAAGAATCTTTAGGGAATCTTTAAAGAATATTCTAAGAGAATATTCAAGGAATCTTCTGGAAGTTTCTAGAGACTTCTTTCTAGAAGGTTCTAGAAACTTGTCTCTAGAAAGGTCTAAGGACTATGTTCTAACATCTAGTCTTTAGTCTTATTTCAAGACTTTTTAGACTTCTTATTTTTAGCAATAGGTATTTTAGTTTAATACTATATCATCTTTGAATGACTTTCTAGTTCTTTTGAATGATACAAGAATGAATTAAGAATGTCTTTTTTTGAGATTCATATCCATAATACTAATAAAGGATGTAATACATATTAGTAACAAACATTGTATTAAAGCTTGATAAGTCAAAGTGTAATAAAGTAAAGTTTATGTTTTCTTATAAAGATATGAAGTTACTTTCTAGAGAAAATATTATTGTTTAAAGTGCAACATTTCTTTTAATGAAAAATTTCTTAAATCTAAGTAATTCTAGTCTTGTTTATAGTCCATTAAGAAGATGTTGCATTCATAACTTAAATATCATTAATAGACTTAACTTGTATTTATATTAATATTAAAATAATTATATTTTTATATTAAATATATTATTTCAAAATTATTCATATTGACATGTTATTATAAAACTATTTATATTAACTTGTTATTTTGATATATTGATATTAACAATTTTTTTTAATTTAACATGTGATATGAATATTAACTTAATTGCCATAATATTAGACAAATTTTTTTATAAATTTATAAAAAATATTATATATTAAAAATACACACACACATATATATATATATATATATATATATATATGAGAATGGCGTGATTAAAAGTACTTTAATTCAAAATAAGTTAGAATCTCAAAAAAATTAAAATTATCTTGTAATTTATAAAAACAAATTAAAAAACTAATCTAATATTAGTAAGTATATATATAATATTATTAGTAAGTATATATATAATATTATTAGTAAGTATATATATAATATTATTAATATGTAAATATCTAGTCTTATTAAATTTTATGTTATTAATACCAAATTAATTTATCAAATTTTAATCATGTATATATATATTTTTGAAAGTATAAATCATTTTTAAAAATTATTGCATTTAGACTTTAATAACTAAAATTTTAAATGATAGTTTAAATAAGCATATGCACATTTGTTTATTATAATTCTATTTAGGTTTTTTTGATAAATTTATAGAACAAAAAAAATCTAAAAAAATATTATATATCAATTCTTCATGATTATTAAATGATAATATTTTTTATATGCACTATTGTATATATATTTATTTAATGATTCAATAAATAATACTAAATATATTTCTTTACAATTAAAAATATAAATTAGTATTTTTAAATTTTAAAGAATAATCACAATTAAAATATATTTAAATTTTCATATTTTCTATTCCATATATTTATATATATATATATATATATATATATATATATATATCATTTTAGCTTTGCATAAAAATGTAACTTAGAGGAAAAAAATTTGTTTGAATATCTAAATAATTATAATTTTGTGAATCAAATATTAGAATTTATTTATGTTAAATCTACATACTCTAGTACTTCAAAGTAATTGTAAATATTATAAAGAGGATGTAATTGCAAATTTGTCAAATATGTAATAGTAGATATTTTTATTAGATTTTAGATTTTATTGTTTTAAATGAATATGTTTATCAAATAAATTTTATTGTCATTTTTTAATCAGTAGCTTTTTTGGATGTGTGATATTTTTCTAACTCTAAATATAGCACTGGGAGAAAAAATTGAAGGTTTAGTAAACAAGAATTTTATTTTTGCATTACTTTTATTATAATTCATCTCTAAATTATATTTATTTGAATAATCTAAGAAAACTCAATTTAAACTAACATGATATGACCTTGTAAAATAGAGTTCAGAATAATTTGTTTTAAAAAGAAATCTATGATTTCAAAAAACACTTACTTCAGAATTATGTATGACATACGTCTGCTGGGAGCCTTGGCATCAGTCAGTGGAAGCTTTTGTGGACTTGCCGATTTGTTTTGGCTTCCACCCACTTCAGTTGCTTGAGGTGCATGATACACAACTCTACATCTTCGGTCAGTGGAGCCATAAACCGACTCTGTTGAACTACAAAAAGGCTCCAGTGGATAAACATTCTTTTTCTGGTTCCGCATGGATTGATTCTTATTTGGATGCTTTCGGATTGTGTGAAGGTTAAGCGATTTGTGCAAAACAATTACCCAAAGGTGTCAAATTATATAGAAAGATGTTAGAAGCATTTGTAAGGATTGTTGCTTTGGCAAGTCAGCATCTATATTGCGGTTGTCCCCGCCTTGCTTCTGGAACTCGAATCGCTTTTTAGCGGTTGTCTCTTCTATTGACGGAAACTGAAAGCTTCGTAAGTTCGCAGCAGTGTTGTTTTCACCACAAAGGGTTGCTTGCAGCTTCATCAAGCTGTGAGGAATAACTTCCCTACACAACATTTTACTTCATTCCCATGCAAATAACGTATCGATTCGCATAAGGCAATATATTTTGAAGGTTAACGTTTTAATAGATTTGCAACAAAATTCGATACAATAACTTGTAGCAGCTTCAGTTTGTTTCATGTGTGATAATGCCCATTGACTTCAATTCTGAGCTTAAGGTGAATTAAAAGATCTGAAACTTATCCAGTAAGGATCTGCGTCACAGAATATAGATACGGAGTGGAATCTTTTGGAGCATTCTTGGCTGAAAGCGTCATGCGGAAGTCTCCACTGAAAGTAGATTCTATGCATTCCAGCTGGATGACAAGGAGAACGTTAGATATATACATGGCTGATTCGGCACTCCAAAGTACTTATTTTACCTGCATAGCTGGTGAAGGAAGCAACGAACTGATCACTAAGCATAAAAAACAACTAACAAAAGCCTTAAAAGTTTTAAAAAAACCAGTAAAATAAAATACTTCTTTTTAATCCTAGTCCCAGCTCCTCACCATGCGACACCACGATGGCTTTGAAAAGCCCCTACGGAAGAAGACCACCAAGATGCTGGTTGTGAAACAACATCGTCACATTTGCATGGATAGATGGCATTTTCAATTCTGCAGAACATGAGAAAGGCTTGGTAGTTACTGAAACTTTAGGAATCGTGAAACGCACCGAATTCATTATTGCACCCTCGAAGCTCCATTTGTGGGCCCGAATTTCATGCGTTGTCGCAGTATGAATAACGCGAAGCGTTTGGAGGAAGGAGATCTAGTTACAAGCTCATGTCAGCATCTAACTTTTGTTTGCTCCCTTAAAAAGTGGTCCATTAATGGAGCTCGTACCAATGAGGGTCTCACGCCAACATGATGAAACCATGTTCTGAGAACTCAAAATTAGTGACATGATAACTGAGACTTCATGGAAACGTCAGTAAACTCAAGATTTGCGGAAAGCTAAATACTACCCTTTCTCTTGCACTATCATTGCAATGGAACTTGAGCCATTTCAGCAAATCTCGCTTAGCACCTGAATCTCCCTAGGTGAGCTTGTTGGCGCACTAGACAGCAGCGGCCTCACTGGGAGGTTTTAGATTTGTGATAAAAATGAGTTGATGTGTATCTCGAATGCTCGTATTCGAGACGAAGCTTACGTCCGCAAGGAAAGATGAAATTATGACATATTTTGTTGACTACATGGATATTGCAACTGCAGTTCACCATAACGATTTCTGTTTTTTGGTGGATGCTGTTGCAGCTCTTCAGACAGGACACACTGCGGAGGTGATTGTTTTAGGAATTGAATAGTTGCCTGTTTTCAAAACATCGCAATGGGGTCGGTACAAGGCCTGCTTCGCCTTTTGTTGCTGTCACTCTTTGCTGCAAGTTCCTTCAGCAGAATGCACTCACCATGGGATGATAAAATTGCCATGCAAACTGAGGAGGAAGCGGGTGAGATTGAAGAGGGCGTCAGGTGGGCAATTCTAATCGCCGGGTCGTCGGGTTACGGAAATTACCGCCATCAAGCTGATATTTGCCATGCGTATCAGATTCTGAAACGAGGAGGATTGAAAGAAGAGAACATAGTAGTGTTCATGTACGATGATATTGCCAACAATGAAGAAAATCCTCACCGCGGGAAAGTGTTCAACAAACCTTACGGTCCTGACGTCTATCCAGGAGTCCCCAAGGTATCTGTGCAACAGACTCAGAAACAAATCAGTCCAGTGTTCATACTAGAAGGAATTAGAATTTCAAAAGTTCTAAGGGAGGTTGTAAGATGATTTATTTGAAAGAGCATATTGGTTTCAGGATTACACTGGAGAGAATATAACGGTAAGCAATTTCTATGCGGCAATTCTTGGTGACGCAGACGCCACCAAAGGGGGCAGCGGTAAGGTGGTCGCCAGTGGACCAAACGACCATGTTTTCATCTATTATGCCGACCATGGCGGTGCTGGGGTCCTGGGTGAGTCTTGAAGCATCTCTTCAGTTTCATATTCTCTACCCATCTTCACACGATTGTCTATCCTCTACTAGTATCAAGGGATTGTGGAGATCCTCCACACAAGTAAATGGTCGTATATTGTGACTAAATACCAGATTGTGTCCAACAGGTATGCCCAACGACCCAATCTTATATGCTGATGAATTCGTGGACACACTGAAGAAGAAAGCAGCGGCAGGGACCTTCAAGAAGATGGTCATATATGTGGAGGCTTGTGAAAGTGGGAGTATCTTCGATGGGCTTTTGCCCACGGGCTTGAACATCTACGTAACTACTGCCTCAGATCCGGACGAGAACAGCTGGGGGACCTACTGCCCTACCATGATTCCTCCACCTCCTCCAGAATTTGGTACCTGCCTCGGCGATCTCTACAGCGTTTCCTGGATGGAGGACGCGTAAGCATCCACAATCTATACTCTAACTCTCAGTTCCAAACACTAAATGTTTTTGTCTACTGTGAAATCGTAAAGCGTGAACGAAACCAACGAAACCGTCACAAGGCTCATACAAGTGGGTGTGAACATTTGCAGGGAGATGGAAAATTTAAAGAAGGAAACACTCAATGACCAATACCGCATCGTAAGCTCCTCAATTCAAATCAATCAAATGCTTCTCCGAATTGGTAGCAAATTTCCAACAACTCAATACCGATCACATTATACCTCTTTGGCAATTAGTTAATTCTTCAACTTGCCCCATAGATTCATAGTTAGGTGGTATCCACCCACTTCTCACAACTTGACCATCCATATAGGAAAAAGTGCAAAATCACTTCTTCCTATTGTTTGGCAGGTGGCGGACATATACTTAATACTAGAGATTTCCAGAACCATATGCCTCTTTGACGAATTTTTAGGAAGGGTTCTCAAGGAAGTTATGCACATGAAGCAATTAATTAACTCGGTATTCTTCTGTGAACGATGCCTATCCTTCTGACACATCAGACTGACTCTAGGGACTCCATCTCTGCAGGTCAAATCAAGAACCTCAGACAATGACACATACATGACTGGGTCTCATGTTATGCAATACGGAGACATCGAAATTGATGCGGAAGAAGTGGAGCGGTACCTCGGATTCGACCCTGCAAATGAGAATGTGACTCGACCAGAGCTTCCCGTATCTAAGGCACCAGCCACTGCATCAGGCATGCATGTTATGCAACGTGAAGCTGAGCTCCTCCACCTGTGGCACAAGGTTCTAAATACTGATACTCATCAGCTTTGACTTTATCACAATTGTTGTGGAGACCGAATTCGGTCACAATTGTAATGAATTCTATAACAAAATTGGATATGAACGTAATATTTGCAGTATCACAAGGCAGTTGACGGTTCAAAAAAGGAGTCAGCAGGGATGGAACTGACACGCACAATTGCACATCGTATGCACGTAGACAATAGCATCAAGCTCATAGGAGATCATATGTTTGGGCTTGACACTAGTCTCCTGAGGCTTAAAGCTGTGCGGCCTGCTGGACAAGTTCTGGTGGATGACTGGAGCTGCCTAAAAGCTATGGTAAGTAACTTAGTTCAACAATTAATTTTCGCATACCCAGCCAAGAGCATGACCAAGAGCCTAATATAGGTTCTTTGGTTCCTCCCTGCAATGAAAAAGATTCAGGCTGCTTGGAATATGGCTGGTAGATGTGTCACTTTTCAATTCTTCATTTCAAGTTTGTACTTGAAAGGATTAGCTAGTGACAGTCATTCAAGGAAAACATCTCCTAATGCGATCAGCATCCTGGGTGATTTGGAGCGCAGGTACGTACCTTCGAAGCAAGTTGTGGTCCTCTGACCCAGTACGGTATGAAGCACATGCGGGCGTTTGCAAGCATATGCAATGCAGGGATTGATCTCGACACCATGAAAAAAGCAACTTCGCAAGCCTGTGGATTCAGTGAAACGGACACTGACCTTCGGACTGCAGATAGTCCCAGGTTCAGTGCATCAGCTAAAGAGTTTGTAAAGACCATTGAATTTTAAAAACATCTGCGTTCGTAACTCCAAAATCAATCACAAGTGACCCCATAGACAACCAGTTAAGTACATAATAGCACAACTGCAGCCACATTTCTAGTCAGCAGTTGGGTCAATGTTTAGTATCAAAATACAAATATTCAAATATCGCCGTATAAACATTACTGACTGCCTAGAACATGACTATCAGAATATATAGTCACACACATAAGCAGGGTCAATAATAGTACAGCTCTGTTTTTTAGACCTAATATCCATGTAGCAGAAGATAGAACTCTGATCCGCAATATAGACACCCATTTGAAAGTGTGCAATACATTTCAATGAAAACAAGTTCTATTCAGTGTGATCAACAACCTTTTTGTGATAATATTCTCCCAATACAACAAAAATGTGGAGGATAAATTTAGTTATGATAAAAATTCTTTTGATAGAGCTCCCTTGAAGAAACTCCCAAGGTCAGGGGGCATCAAGAATCGAGACAGGTGAGTCAGTTCGAGAACCGTCACTACGCGATTCCAGTAATCTAACCAGAATTCTACAGATTGCATGCTCGTATGAGCTGAGAGAAAGTCTTCAGTAGCTCTCAATGAAAGTCCATCTTGACGTCCATGACATCTAGTTGAAGAATATCGGCTTGGCAATTCAAAATTGATCCAACACTGCAAGAAACGAATGGACATGTGAGATGAATTATCGTAAAAACGAGCGAAAAATGCCAATGCATACAAAAGGTAATGGATCTACATAGGAAGTGTATTAAATGCTTAGAACACTAGCACAAGAAAAATTGTTGCTCATAGCTACTGCTCAACATTTAGAAATTTAAAAACACAAAAAATTTGCCTAAAAGCAGAATTTCACATACTTCGGACATGTACGACCAAAATCACCATGAACGAACTCCTTAATATAAGTGCCTGCCTGTTTATAGTATGCATAGAGATGGTTAGAGGACATGATAATAGCTTAAGGATATTAAATTGCATAGATATGCATCCTGTCAACACAGTGACCGCGTTTTGAAATCGATCCAATATATTCAAAAATGCGGTTCCCAACAAACTGGCTATATCCAAACAAATAGCAGTTAAGTCTATCAAACAATGAGCATCTAATCAGCATTTTCAGGATGGTTACCATTCTAAACATCCCAGGCCCATTCAGGAAAGACGAGATACCTGCGTGCAGAGAAATAATAGGAAGTAGTTTGGACTGTCTTTGATTTCTTCGCACCTCATCCTGCACAGAATGTGGTAATGTTAACAAATGGCAGATGGAAATTTAGTCAATCAGATTCACATGTTAATCATAATTTTGAAGACTTATTCCAATTAAATTTCTAGGTGACGCCACAATCAACCAGTGTGACCTGTGAGTAGCTAAATCCAGAGGGAAGGCCGAGTACCAGTGGATGATGCGTGGTCGGATGAGGGGACTTCGCCGATGTAATACCCTTACTGGTGTTTTTTGCTGTAATTCCTGTAGTGTAAATCTAACATGTCAGGTCACCAACATAGCCTGAGCAATATGAACCATTGTCTTCTTTCTAATCTCAACATTTGTATTTAATATCTCCTCAAAAGGAACCAGGATGCTTATGCAATGAATTGTTCCTAACCAGGTGCCACGAATTGACTTGACGACTATTTGAGGCTAGAATTCTTCAGAAATCAATGTATAAAGTAAAACTAGGCCAGACACAAGATTTCATGTGATACACCTACCAGCTCTTTCAAACTTGACAGTGCTTCAAAATCCTCTGATGTAACTGGTCTTGATAGCCAAACAACTGCAGCGTACTCTTTCTGTGGCATAAAGAGACAATACCAGCAAGCGTTGGGTGTCTAATGTTTGATGTAATTCTATTTTCAAGCAAAAATATAAGAAAATCACAACACACAAATTCTACATGAAATCATAGCACTTGCAACTTAATATACAAAAGAGACAACTACGACTTTTCATGATAGACCAAATAAGGACAAAGAAAGAACCTGTTTTTCGGCCTCTCCTTCGCGCATGATAGCGCATGCCTCAACACCAACCTGCCGGAGCTCCCTGACTTTGACCTGCTCTGGTCTCACCCATATTATCATTGGCAGCATTAATGAAGTTTGACTAACCCATTCTCGCCCATCGTTATGATAGGGTCCTAAGAGTAGAATTAATTGAAAGAAATATTGATTAACGTTGAAACAGCATTTGAGCGTGCATCTTGAGGCAATATACATACCCATAATGCTAGTATTACTACATTATTGTTTTGCATATTATTTCTGAAGGCAACGAACGTGATTCCCAGGAATAAAAAGTGCGACAACATTGGCGTTTGACATGTTCTCACAGCCATTAGTAAATACTTCAGTTCCTAAATGACACTCACCCAGCCTTCTTTCAAACTATTAATTTCGCCCTCTAGTTTAGCAATTTCTGATGAAGATGGAATATTGCGTGCATTTAAAATTTCCAATAAGAAGGGTCGGCCAGGCCCTAGCATGCGCACCTGTAATGCAAATTACATATCGTCAGTAGGATCTTCATGGTCAACTCAAAAAGCTCTAACGCCTAGTGCTGCACAATTCATACCAACATTTCTTACGCTAACTGAAACCATTAATCCAAAAACATCAAGGAACAAGCTCAAAATCCCACAAAAGACCATGCAGTACACTAGTAAAATTTCCCCACCAAGTGAATAACTACACTTTACAGTCAGGAGCAAGTCATCAGAAGTAGACCCACGTGCACGTCACCATATCAACATTAATTTGAAAATGATAAGACGCAGCTGAGAGAAGAGGAGCTTACGTCCATATCTTCTCGGCCAGCTGCATGAAACTTATAGCTGTCGCCTTTGTAATATGGAAATATCGCATTTCCGATGACCTCCTGTTACCCATTGCCCCAAAAGAAATTAGGTGTGCAAGAACTATAGAAGAAAATCTATGTCGGGAGTATAATTATGGTTTCTAAATTCAAGAAATTTCAAAACCTCAAAAATTAGAAACTCTCCATATCCTTTGACCTCCAAATGCCAGTTTGAGGAATTCAGATGGAAAAGAATCTTATTATTAATAACAATATGACATACATAGTACCATGTAAGGCAAATACAAGTACACATGAAATAACATGGAGAAAAAGCAAACCTGAACAGACCCCTCTCCCATGCGTTCATCATCAATCATCCAGCGACTTTGACTTATGTTTCTTGAGAACTGCCAAAACATACTCAAAATCTCAGCTTAAAAGTTGAACAAATGGAACCACAAGTAAATCAACTGATAAAGCAAAATCTAGTGAAAGAAACCAAGCGACAAATATAGATTTGTCTCGTATGTGAAGAAATAAGAAGTGCCTTCAAATATCGACCCCCAACAAACACTGGCATGCGCCAGCACATTATGCTCCGATCACAAGGTGTTGAGGCCTGCATAAAAATAAAAATAAAAACAACGGGGTGTCAATGACCGGAAGCATGTCTAAATAACAAAGTATGACGTTCAAAAAATATATAAAGCACTTTTCGAACAAGAAGGGAATACATGTACCCTGGGAGGTGGAGAAGAAAAATGGCGCGAAAATGTGTCCCCCGTCATGGTTGCAAGAGCCCGAACAACAGTGGCTACTGACTCTCCTGCTTCTGCTGTCCGCACTGCAGCTACAGCTGCTAGACCAGCAGCTGGACTGGGTGTTCTTTCTTCCTGGCCTGTAATTCAAATTCAAACAGTGACCTTTAAAAGTGTACAGACATGACTTGCGTAACGACGCTAAAAATATTAAAAATAAAAGGCAAAAGAAACTAGAGCCATTAAACTACCTCCTAATGATTTCAGCTGGTGAAACGTATATATTAATGTTAACAAGTTCGCAGAACGGAATGTAGTAAATTACATAGAACTGACCACGACGTCGTCGTTTCGCATCTCCACCCGAGTGATTGATGAAATTGAGCTCCGTCAAAGATGTCGAATGCTTGTAAAGCAATGCTATCCGCACTAGAGCGTTTGAATTGAACTTAGCGGCCTACACAATATAAAAACCGATCAGACAAGTCACTCCTGCATATTAATTGAAGCTGTAAATTTACCAACCGGTCGTTAAATTAAATTTCAATTCATTGACTATATCCTGCAGTGACGGATATAAAGCATATACTGGATCTACGATTACACGTTGGATACATCAAGTTCTCGTGCGTACCAGCATCGACTCAAGAGGTGCAATCACAGACCACTTGATTGCCTCTTTCAAAGAAACAATGCTGTTGGTCTCAAATTGTGGAGCAAACATAGACTCCTTGGGATACTTCTTTTTCAAGTACAACCTGTACAAACAAGCCACATTTTTAGGAAAATGAGGTCCTCAACACAAGCTCTAAATGGCTGATCATTCTTGATTGCAAGCTTTCTTGAGCAATCTACAGTAAGGAAAATACAAGGATCAAACTACAAAAGTCCAATTAACAGATCGCACTGTGATTCCTTCACATAAGAACACCCACTACTTCTCGACTGCTAATACATCAAAAAAGATACAGAAGATGGATGAGAGATAACTTGCTTATGGAAAGAAGATGTACCAAAGCGATCGGTCTCTGACAACTGTGATGGCTGGAACCGAGGCCTCCAAGCAGAAGTCATCGAAAACATACCCTTCCTTACGGGCAACCTGTTCAATTTGATGTTTTGACCCATCACCGATGTACATGTGCAAAGCCCCTAAACAGACAATACAGGGGTTCTTCATGCCCTCTGATATTTTATTGGTGAGCTCAATGGCAGTAGTGGGTTCACATTCCATCTCTGCTGTTGATGTCTTCTCATTGCCATTAGTTTTCTTAGAGGTTGACGATGATGATGAATTCAGTTCCGCCAGAAGCAAGTCAGGGCTCGGAATTGAGCCAGCGAAGTCGATGCTACGTACATTCAAGAAACGCAGAACACATCGCGTACAAACCTGCAAGACCACACTACAATATAATGTGAATTGCAAGAAAATAAATCTGGTGTGTCTCTTATCATTTCAAATACGCTGATGAGCAGCGAGTAAAAAGTTTAATGATAAAGCACGGAGAGAAACTCTCTCCCGCGCCAAAGTTTGCAAATTCTCATTCTGAAAGGGTGCATGTTGAACATAATTAACTTCTTCCATCGTCTCAACTAATAGAAAGCGCTTATCTCCGCTACCAAAAAACTATGAAACAGCAGAATTGACCACTTAAGAGGAAGTGTACCACCCTTCTCAATCAGCACCAGGAGCCACCAAATTCATCAAAACAATTGGAAATGAAGAAGTAAATATTGAAAACGCGGAGATAGCACCGGCAACTGTTCAAGCAGCGGACAAAACAAGCTGCCAAATTAATCCTCACTCCTCAATTCCAGCCTCAAGGCTAGACACAATGCCTTACCCCGATAGACAGAAGATCCACAACAACTGCAGACGGCAAAGTTGGCAACAATTCCCGCAAAGACTCTGTCATCGCCTCTTCTGATCCAGCTTCTACCATGGCGATTGAGTCTTAAAATCACAAAGCATCGACTACAGAGGTTTCCTCCTCTTCACACCACAAGAGAAGTGAATGCAGCTGGAAGAAGGGCAGTTCGCAAAATCCTAACTCGGAATTGCGACTGAGTTTGTGTGCAACGCAAACACAGGGCAAGCGCGGGTACACTCTAGGTTTAGGGTTTAGGCCCCAGGTTCCCAATCTACACGGAGGAACCAAACACAAGTTCGGTTTGTTCTATTGAGTTGTCTCTATGGAGTTGAAGGGAATCTCGGAATTTGTCACTCAGGAAGTGTTAAAGGGTAACCTCTTATCATGGCGAAGGTTGTGAGATCTTCATAATATTCCCTCTCTCCATATTTACTCATCAAACAAAACAGTTTGTTGTGGCATTTTGAAATGATATTACCACTTTATAAATTTGCTAGATGAATTTGCTTTCTATTAGTATCCATATTCATCCATTATCAAGTTTTGATCATTACAAAATGTACATGTAGACATTAAACTGTGAGCTAGAAATGAATATCAATGTAGATTTTTAATTATAATTATCCATAAGGAATATATTACAAATAATCTAAATTATGAAGAAAAATATATTTGCTTGATTTTTAATTCGAAACTGGTAGCACTAAAGTGAAAAAATAATCAATATATAGTGGATTTTCTATGATAAATTTATATGAGTTTGAAATGATTACCTTTGATTAAACTATATATATTTATGTATATATGTATGTATATTAGTAGAAACCCATGTAAAAACATTATAAACTATGTCTTACAAATTAACCTTTTGTTTGTAACTTCATTCAATGTGAAACTCCATGTTGCATGTGGTTCTACTCTGTTCCATGCCATCTTACATTGTGGTGCTTCTGAGCTCTTGGCCTAGTGATCTTACAATGCTACTTTCAATAACATCATACACATTTTAATCTTTGATTGATCCAAAGTTGAGTTATTGCTTCACTTTTAATGAAAACAATAAGATACATAGCCAATCAAAGTTGGTTCTTGTCTCCTCTTATTTATCTTGTTGGTTTATCCCTCTGAGTTGTTTTATATAAGAGACTAGATGAACCCATGTTGTCGTTACAAAAAGTATGATTCAAATGAAGCGTTTTTTGATCCAAAGAATATTTTTCAAATACAAATATAATTCAACATAGATAGAAAGAAATAAAATACACAATGAAGCTTTCAGCTACAAAGTAGGATAGGTAAATCCATGCCTTATTAGACAAACTCATGCCTTATTAGATAAATCCATGCCTTATTAGATGAACCCATGCCTTTTTAGACAAACTCATGCCTTATTAAATGAACCCATGTCTTATTGTCATGGAAAGTGTGATTCCAATGACACTATTTTTCAAAGATATGTTTGTGAGTCAAAGAGTAATTTTCAAATACAAATACAATACATTACAAATAAAAAGAAATAAAATCTACAATTGAGCTTTTAGCTATAAAGTAAGATAGGTAAACCTGTGCCGTTGTCACAAATAATATGCAAATAAAGTAATTAATTTTATTTAAAGAATTACCTGTAAAAATATTAAAAAAAAAATTAAATTACATTAAAAATTTATAAGAGTATGTTAAGACATTTAAAGATTTACTAAAGTTAATAAATTAATTAATTAAAATAAAAATAAAAAATACTAATATTTATCTAATTAAAATTTTTGAAAAACAATATTTAGTGTAGAATTAACAACCTCGTTGGATTGAGGGCCAAATCTCCAAGAACTCACTCATAAACTCATAAAACTTGCACTATGGTCAAGTGTACATTCTCAACACTTGATGAAATTGAAACACACAATCAAATAGAAGAAAAACGTATGTACCAAATCCCACCATATCTATACACCAAAGTTACTCTTGGCAAGGCACCTAAGACTTTTATCAAATTTCTAAATTTCAGATTATGCTTATTATATGATGGATGAGAAAAGCAAAAAAATACAAAACCACTTCATATCCTCTCTTCAATTCCACTTGTAGAAAATGAAACAACAAATCAAATGTAGAGAAAAAAATAAATGTAAATATCACGCACTATTGCACTTGAACATGTGGCTCATATCAAATCAAAAGCAAAAATGTAATCAAATGTAATTAGAACCTATTGTAATCAAATGCAAAGTTCACCTTTAGGCATACAACAACATTATTTAATTTTTTTCATTCTCGAGTAAAGAGCATAGTATATGAAGATTCTAAATAATAAATGTAATTGACAAAATTTTCAAAATCAATAATTTATCACAACAATAATTCAAAAATATTGATCACTCATCCATTAATAATTTATTTGCTAACTATCCATCAAAGAACTTTACAATACAATGCCATATTATAAGTGAGAGATAAGCATAAGAAAAATAAGTTCAAGAGCTATGCAATATGTAAATATTCTATAGATTTCTTTTTAAATAATAATCCACAAATTTAATAATATGCACCTGGCAAAATTCCATTGCCTCTCACAACTTGTGCCTTACCTCACTGGTATTCAATTGCCTACTTTTCTCTAAATTATTGAACTTCACTTTCAATTGTATTTAGTTGCAAAAAATAATGAGCCTTGTGAACTCCATGTGAAGTCTCTATGAACTCCGCTTAAGTTTTGGTCAAGCTTTTGCTTCCTTTTAAACTCTAGACGAAGTTAAGTTTTTTGATGAAAACCAAAAGGGGTGCATGCAGTGAATGAGAGCCACCACTTGTCTTTTTGAGCAATCACATTTCTATTTTGTCATCTTTCTTTGAGAGAAGTTTCACTTGTTTATTTGTCTTTATCATGTTCTTGTCCTTGACACTTCATAATAATTTTCTTCATATCTTTTAAATTTGACTTTAATAAATTTTTGAATGTCTTAATACACTTTTATATTTTTTAATATAATTTAATATTTATTTTAATATTTTTACAAATAATTCTTTAAATAAAATTATCTTTTTTTTGTATATTATCTATGACAATGGCATAGTTTTAACTATCTTACTTTGTAGCTGAAAGCTTTATTTTAAATTTTATTTATTTTTTTATAAAAAATCAAAAAATATTCATTGACTCACAAACATATATTTCAAAAAAATTCTTCATTTGAACCAAACTTTTTCTGACAACAACATGGGTGCATCTAGTTTGTATTAACATGTGTGGCACATGGCCATCTTGTTGACGACGTTTCTAATCCCAAAAAGTCAATTAAAGGCACCTATAAAGTCAAAGCAATGTCTATAAAGCTTCTAGGAAGCTACCATATCAAATACTAAAGAATTAACTTACTTTTACTTAATTTTACTTACTTCTACCTATTTATACATGTAATTATTGGCTTACATGCATATGTTCGTGACATTATCCCTTCTTCTAGGGACGAGTTCCACGAGGAGTGGTAATCATATGTTGAGGAAATCTATCATGCGACAAATTATATTCACCACATACTCTTATCTTTGTTCTCTTCGAAGATGATTGATAGGGCCTCTCAACCATCGGTAGTATGCCATATCAGGGTGGGAAGATCACCCAGTTATTTGATCATTGTTGAAGCCTTCATAACTACCTTTGAATAAAACATTTGGAACACCATCTGTAGTTGTTCCTACCTCTAGTAAAATTTCCAAACATCGGGAGTCCCTTCTAAGGTCGTGAAACCAAACGCGTTGTATCTCGCCATCTATTTGACGAAGAACGTGTCTTTTTTGAAGATCTTCATCTCGATTGCATCGTCTTGAAGGTTGTGACAATCGTAATGTCTCGTCCGGCAGGTCAATAAACGAAGTCTCTTGAGTCAAATTTGTTGGTTGTTGGTTCTCCATCTCCTGAGAGTCACAACTACAAAGAAGCTATAAACAAGGATTGAAAGTAGAATGTTGTCTTGCCTAGATGTTGTTTCTTTTATAAAGAAGATTTTCATCTTGATTTTGATGGATGTCATTGATGAAAAGCCTCCACCACCTTTGCTACATTTACAAGATTCTTTACTGGCTCCCATGTACATTCACTAATATCATATCCGTGCCAATGGACAAGATATTCCAATTTATTTTCATGTCGCCTTAAATCTAAGACTTCTTCTACTTCAAACTCTTCATTATTGTCCACTTCTATAGGAAGAGGTGAAGCTTGTCTTCTTTTTGGTATGTCCACTATCTTGTATGGTTCAAGAAGAAACATATGGAATACTAGATGGATTTTCATTGACTCCAATAGGTCTAAACAATATGTAACTAGATTGATTTGTGTAGAAATAGAAAATGGTCCAAGCCTTTTTTTTCCAACTTGTCACAAGGACAGGTGGTCTTGATATTGCAACAAAGTAAAAATACCTTATCACCCAAGAGGAATGGTGGTTGTTCCTTTCTATAGACATCCACATTGACATTTTGTTGTTCTTGAGCTTCTTTTAACTATGTCTTCATCGTTGCATGTAGCTCTGAAAAATGAATTGCTAAATCTTTCGTAGCAGGATTATCAACTTTTGAAAAGTCAAAAGTATCAAGTCATGGATGATAACCATAATTAGCAAGGAAAGGTGTTTGTTTTGTAGAAGAATGTATCGTGTTATTGTAAGCAAAATCTACTAATGGTAAAAGAATTGTCCAATCATCTTGTTGGTAGTTGATGGTACATCTTAAATATTGTTCCAAAACTTGATTAACATGCTCCATTTGTCTGACAGTTTGAAGATGGAATGCCGAAGATAGTTTTATATCCACTTTTAGAATCTTGAAAATAGTCCGCCAAAATCTTGATACAAATTGAGTTCTCATATCTAATATAATATCCTTGGGTAATCCATGATAGTGATAGATATTGTTAAGAAAGAGCTTACCTATTTCTTCACCTGTGATAGATTTTGTACATAGTACAAAATGTGCCATCTTAGTAAAACGATCTACTATCACAAATATAGAGTCATAAGAACCTGAGATTAGAAGATCAAAGATGAAATCCATAGAAATAGAAGACTATGGTTGTTCTGGAATGGATAATGGCTGAAGAAGTCTGTAAGATCGATGACGAGGAGTTTTTGATCTTGAGCAAACACCACAAGATCGTACAAAATCTTTGACTGCCTACCATATTTAAGGCCACCAAAAGTCCCTAGATATTAGTTCCAAAGTTTTATTGTACCTAAAATGTCATACTGCTGGAAAGTCATGACGAGCTTGAACACGTAATCGAGCTTCACCTTTTAGAACATATAGGCGTCCATCAAAATATAGTAGATTCTTCTT